CTGGATGTGGAGGAGCAGCTGGTCTACTCCGAGCCCCTCCTGGATGAGCGAGCTTCTCACCCTATCTCTAAGAAAGAGCCAAGCCACCCTGCGGAGAAAACTTATTTCAGCTGCTTGTATCCGCGATCTCGTTCTATTGGTCACTACCCAAAGCTCATGACCATAGGTTAGGGTAGGAATGTAGATTAACCGGTAAATCGAGAGCTTAGGCATCTCGTTCAGCTCTCTCTTCACCACGACAGAGCGGTACAATGCCCGCATCACTGCAGACGCAGCACCAATTCAACTGTCGATCTCATGCTCCATTTTTCCCCCACTCGTGAACAAGACCCCAAGATACTTCAACCTCTACTTGAGGCAAAACCTGGAGAAAGCATTTTACCCTTTTTCTGACTGAAGACAATGGTCTCAGATTTAGCGGAGCTGATTCTCTGTCATTTGAGGCCCTTTCTAAAATCATTACTGTAAAAATTATTTTTGATCTTTACATTACTTGCCTCAAGTGGAGGTTGAAGTATCAAAAAGAGCACACGTCACCCCTCTGTTCATTGAGCTACACTGGCTACCGCTAGCAGCACGCATCAAATTCTAATAGCTAACACTAGCATACAAAGTCCGAGATGGTACGGCTCCCATCTACCTGAATCCTCTTGCAAAGGCTTACGTCTCGGCCCGGCCGCTCCGGTCATCACAGGATGGTCGGCTAGCAGTGCCTACACCACGCTCAGGACCATCCAGACTCTTCTCATGCATCTTTCACAAATGTGGAATGACCTTCCAAGCACTACCAGAACAGGAGCTTCCTTTTCAATTTTCAAGAAACTCCTGAAGACCCTGCTCTTCAGAGAGCATCTTCTTAACTAGCTCCCTCCCTGCACCCGTCCCCCCTCTCTACTGTCCACTCCTTGTTCCCTCCTCTCCATGACTGATGTCAAGTTGTTGTTATTGTTGTTGTTGTTAGCCTCAAGGGCAACATGCCGATTATCACTAGTAAGTCGCTTTGGACAAAAGCGTCTGCTAAATACATAAACATAAACATCTCATCCATCACACTAATCCACTTCATATCTATCATTCCATTCATATCTTGTCATGTATAATCGTTAGTTTTGGGAAAAGAAATAAATTCATTTTATAAACTATATACTGACTCTGTCTGAATTAATACGAAGTGTGTTTATGATCCCTGAATACGTAAAGTAACTATAATCTTCTGATTAACATTGAAAGATCAATCAGATTGATATTTCATATTTATATGGAATTATCACATCTTATTGGTCATCTCAATAAATATGTAGTAAATCCTCAACACTGATAATAATGGAGGCATACGTTTTTAATGCACTTCCTACCCTGCTGTTGTGTGTTGCCCTCATTCTACCATTTCTCGGGTTTAGTCTCTTGAAGGGGGGAGGGATGCTCGTCATTTTTTAAGAATTGCAAAGTCACTAATGATGTTTATTACAGCATTGGCCCATTTTATTAATTGCATTAGTTTTTAATTGAACATTGGTTTCCTAAATCAAAAATATAAACTTGTAGAGCTCATTTTATAGTGAAAAAAATGTGCTGAAGTGAAATGTTTAGTTTCGATAATCTGGCCACAGGGGGTGGTGGCGGTCTGAGTGACCTTTCATTAACCCTGTAAAGGGTCATTTATGCACATACTGACTCAAGAAAGTCACCATGTTCAGATTAAAAATATGAAAAAGTTGCATCGTATCCCTTTAAACTGTCCTGATCGTCTTTTGTATTTGTAAGGGAAAATCTATTCTCCAGTTGTCTAGTCCCACAGCGAGCTCACTGCTGTAACCTGCAGGTAGTGTATGTAACGACTCAGCCCCTCCCCGTCATTGAGATAAACATGGGCCATGACGCATGTCTGTGTGCGGCAGTAGAATGCTGCTGAAATTGGCCGAACTTTATCTGAACCGACTTCACAGTCAATCAAACCATTTACAAACAAGTGTGCAGCTGGAAAATCTCCAGTGTGTAGAATGGGATGGACTCATCCGTAAGAGACAAGCTGCAGCTGATGAGACAACTCATGTTCAGTCTGAGCAGGAAATGGCTGTTTTATACTAAATAGTAATGTGGTGGATAATCAGATGAAAAGGTAATTCTGTCCACCATAACAAGCAGCCTGTAAACAAACAGTGTGAACAGATAATAAATCAGCTGAGTCATGTTTCTGTTTATAGTCTTTCTGACCAGATCTGGCTTAAGTGGTTGGAATCAGGATGTTCTGTTAGGAAGTTCTTGGGTCATTTAATTGATGTCACTGGATGTGTTTTTCAATTATAAACAGAGTGGTTTGAATTACCTGCAATATTTAATAAATCTACTTATCCCTCTGGCAACTGTGATGGCAAAGTACAGAGGTGTGTGTATGTGCAAGTACGTGAGTAGTAGAAGGTAAGGAGGTGAGTAAGAACGAGTTCCTCAGACTCTACCCAAAAATACAACATGGCAAGAAATTATGGTTTCACTTCCAATTTAGTCAACACAAGGCCTGGGGCGATAACAGATTTTGCTGGACGATATATTGTCCAACAAATTATTGACGATAAACGATATTATTGTCGACATTATCGAGACCAAAATAACCACTTATGTAATGTTAATATATCATAATAATGAAAGTACACACTTTAAAATGCAACAATAAAATCTTTATTTAACATTGGAATGTCCAGAACCAGAACTTCCAAGTAATTAAATAAAACAAACAAAAAAAATCAATAAATAAAAAAGGACTTTCAGTCTCTGTTAGAAAACATTGCAGCAAAAACAATAAAATAGAACCTGTCTGTCAAAAAAAATAAAAAAAATAAACAATGGCCTATCCAGTGTCAACAACCAAAACTGCACTTCAATAATGATAATAAATATTAATAATAGAATTGCACATTTTTTTTACCTCGATATATTGAGGATTTTATTTATAAAGCACTTTACAAGCAAAAGTGCGACTCCAAATCTTTTACAGATTTAAAATGACCCCAAATTCCTGTAACAGTTTAAAAGCATTAACAGTCTCACACACACACACACACACACACACACACACACTCAGACACACACACAATAACGTCAGTAAAAATAATATTTAGCTGAGTCCAGATGAGCCAAGTAAGGTAAGGCAAGGAAACGCCATCAGAGGAGCCATCTGCCCCGGCACTATCAGGTCAGTCACAGCAACCAAGTCAGTGCGCCCAGAGGAGGGAGGCCATAGACCCCCCCCACCACTCAAGCAATACCTCTAGAGCGCCCAGGCAGCATTACTTGACCGCCGCCCTGGGGCAGAGGGCCCCCACAAAGGAAGCACTGGATTAAAATGAGTTAAAATATAAAAATAAAAGAGCAAAATAAATGATAAAAGTAAGAACATAAATAATACATAAAAATCATATGGAGAGTAAAATATTATTATAATTAAACAAAGAAACAATGCTTGAATATCATCATGTAAAACGTGCTCAGCAAGTAATAAAATATAATCATCCAAAATGAGAAATAAAACTATAGTCAATAATTAGTTAAAAGCTAATCTAAGCGCAGTGGACGTGAGGGTTCATATGGTAAAAGCAATTCTGAGAGATAAAAAGGCCCAAGACCATTAAGACACTTAAAAACCATTAAAAGAACCTTACAATCGATCCTGAAACATACAGGGAGCCAATGCGGTGATTCTGAAACTGGTGTAACGTGCTCCCACCTCCTAGTCTGCGTCAGGGCACGTGCTGCCGAATTTTGTAGAAGTTGTAAACCTGAGATGCTCTTTTTGGGAAAATCAGAAAGCAGGGCATTACAGTAGTCAATTCTACTGGTGAGACAAGCATCAGTGTCTCGTGTTGGCCACAGAGAGAATGGGCGGACTCTGGCGATGTTCTTTAGATGATTAAAACCTTAATTTTCATCTATCGTTCGATTAATTGATTTATTGATTATCGTCCCAGCCCTAGACAAAACTAAAAGTGGTAAAATGGTAAATGGCTTGTATTTGGTATAGCGCCTTCTAGAGTCCTATAACCCCCCAAGGTGCTTTACAACACAGTCATTCACCCATTCACATGCTGGTGGTGATGAGCTAAGATGTAGCCACAGCTGCCTTGGGGCGCACTGACAGAGGCGAGGCTGCCAAGCACTGGCGCCACCGGTCTCTCTGACCACCACCAGCAGGCAGGGGGGGTTAAGTGTCTTGCCCAAGGACATAACGACAGCATCAAACTGAGCAGGGCTCGAACCTGCAACCTTCCAATTACAGGGCGAGTACTTAACTCCTGTGCCACCATACAGAGTTTTGTTACCAAGCCCTGTGGAACATTAGTTAAGGTTTATTGTGTTGCGTTTGTCGTTGCACTAGTAGCTTGCAACGTTCACCACTAGGATTGAGTCTTGGCTGAAAGAAAACCAAAGTTGTACCCATTTCTACTTAGCACTGGTTTTACGTGTGAACAAGTGATTGTTAAACTTTGTGCAGTGTAGATCTAACGCTGTTGAGATTTTTGTGTTTTATTGCTGTCTAGAAAACCTCAACCAGAGAATCAGAAATAGTTATACACTCTAATTCAACTAGTTTGTACTATTGTACTATGATGTATTAGCCTGGCTAACCATCCTGTGTATGTAGTGAGACTTGAACTGGAGGCTGAAATGCTCCCTTGGATACTTCTGATCATATAAGAGCACACAGACCTGCGCTGTTCCACTCGGGGGTAACGAAGCATCAGATGCCCACCTGGCTTCTATATTTGCCCAGATAGCAGTCTGACGGAATTCATTAGAATCCGTCTCCAAAGAGACCCTGTCCTTCGGTCCACAAGAACCCAAAAGTTTATTTTAAAGGTCTTCTGACGTTCATACATTAGGCTTTGAATGGATTAAAACTTTTATTTGAATCAAAACGACAGTTTGGTTGTATTTTCTTTCCATTTTCCTTTGAATAATAAGTCTCATTGTCCTGTTTCCTTCTCCTTCCACCCTCTCCTCTGAAGAACACCGGTGGTGATTGGTCACTCTCAGAGTTGGACGTCTTGCTGCTGGCAGGAACCATCGGTCACACGCTCAGCTTGGCGGCGAGTAGTTTTGTGGAAGAGGAGCATCAGACCTGGTACTTCCTCCTCAACACACTCTGCCTCGCAGTCTTTCAGGACGTCTGCCGAAAATACTTCAGAGAGCAGCGGGGCTTTGGAGAGGAAGAGGAGCTTTTCCTCCCTTCCAAGGACAGCCATCCGTCTTCTCATCACAAATCTGAAGTGAGCTCAGAGAAGTGGCTGGCTCTGGCCACGCCCCCGTTCACTCTGGTGTGTTGCAGACTGCTGCGTTCCCTCAACCAAACCGGAGTTCAGTGGGCTCATCTTCCAGATGTTGGACACTGGCTGAACAGGTTAGCAATATCAATATTACTGTGTTTTCACGTGTCCTTTCTGTTTAGACAGGTAGAGCGGGTTGTCCAGTAATCGGAAGGTTGCAGGTTCGATCCCAGCTTTGATCAGAGAATGCTGCTGTTGTGTCTTTGAGCAAGACACTTAACCCACTTCGCCTGCTGGTGGTGGTCACTAACAGAAAAGTGACTTTTCATAGTCTAAATGTTTGCGTACCTTATAAAAAGTTCTGTTTTGGTAGCATCATTTCTTGCAAGTTTCATTTTTCTTGCCAGAGAAATCATGATGTCTTCCTAGGAGTTGGAGGTTTAAGTAGGAGCCTGGTGATGTCGTGGTTACTCTCATGTCAGAGTGACTGGTATCAGCAAGCACAGGTCCTTGAGACCTGCACACAGAGACTCGAAAACAAATTTCTCACCAAAACATTTTGAATGTTTGTGTGTGAGAAACTCGTCAGCATCATACAGAACTAAAGCTTGGTGTATGCTTGACGCATTCACTTTCCGCGCGGTGATGCGGCTCGCGGATGGAACGCGCTTCACAACTTGCAGCGTTTATGGTTTGTGCGGCTCGTCTCTGCGGTGAGCCAATATTCTCCCAAACTGTAGGGGGCAGCATGGAGCTCTACAGCATGCATCCAACACTACACCATAGTAGAAGTAGAAATTACTGTTTACAACACGGCATTCCAGCATTTTTAACAGCGTCCTCGTCTTTTCCGACAGTGCGAGCTATTTCTCTCCAAGAATTATTAACAACATGTTGATCACGGTGATCTCTGAGAGCTGAATCATACAAATGTCTGTATTTACCAACCTCTGCCGTACTAGTTCTTGCCGGTCCGCCATGTTTTTCCGCGTCCGTCCGTCCGTCCGCGTGGTTAGAAATTTTCCGAGGTGCGCGTTGCGGAAATTCTGGGCCGTGCGGAGACGCGGTGGAGGGGTGTGGTTGTTAAAATGACGCAACTTTTCCTTGCGGAGCCGTGCGGACCTCGCGGACGCGTCAAGCATAAACAACCTTAATTCTGTAGACGGGCCCCTTTCCAAGCCCCTACATGGCTTTTGTTTCAGAAACTGTCCGGACCTGTTTTGTGTGAATCTGGATACACCCAGAGGGCTGTCAAATATCTTTATTTTTGAGTATTTGGTGAGCAAATAGCCACTTCATTGACTGACTTGAGACGTGATGATGCATAATAAACAGTTGGATGTAAAACACAAGGTGTATGATTTGGTTGAAACCACATTTTAAAAGTTTAAATCGCTGTCTGCTGATGCTGAAACATTTCACATTTGTTTCCCTGAGCAGCAGACAGGAGCCCCCACTTAACATTTCAACAATGGAATGAAGCCGTCTGATTGCTCAGACTGTAGGAAAACTGATTTCTCACAAAAACCGGAACTCTTCCGCAGCCATTAACATTCCGACAGCAGCACAGGGCTGGGGATTTTGGTTTGTTCTTGAACATGTATCACATTGTGGAATAGAGATGTGGATTCTGACCTTTTCTTGGACCAGCGTTGCCCTTTCTTCCCGCCTGCTCTGCCTGCTGCTTGGGTAATGAGATCCAGGTAGCCTTGTGCCTCGCCGTGTCTTCAAGTTTCCGATGACTGCCTGATCCCACTAATGGCTAAACGCACAGCTTCTGCTCAACTTTGATGCGTCCTTTGTGGTCTCATTATTTCCTGTCCAAAATGTCTTACCGTAAACAATTTAAAATCTGTCTTTTTCTAGACATAATGGACAGGCACGGTTTCATCTCAGTGAATGGTCGGCTTAGTAAACACCCCTCTTTTGTTTTGAATGATGATGATGATGATGATGATGGTGATGATGAATTATTGCACATCCTGTGTTTATTTATTGAATCCGGTGACAATGGTGTGTACAACATTTTTGATAAGCGCATAAATTTAATGTTAACGAGCAAGCCACTCCCAAATCATAAACTATATAAATGAGTGTCTGACCGTGCTGCAGACTCGTGAAGTCAATAATTTGGCACTTTAGTGCATCTTAGTTAAAATTTAAATGTTCTGCCTAAATCTGTCAGTGTTGCACCCTCTTTAGGTAAAATCTCTGCACTGCATTTGAATTTAAATCTGCCACTGGTACACTATGACATTAGCTGGTACATTATGATGTCACAATGTCATTGTGAGCCTGTGTGTGTATTTGTTAGCAGCTCCGCCCTCTGAGTCTACCAGGCAACAGCATTTGTTGCATTTTAGAAACAGGAAGTGGGAGTGGAGTAAGACCCTGGTAGGGGGTGACTTGCTCTTTAAAAATGTACAACGCATACTTTATTTATTTTTTTATCAACTTATAATTCTTGTCTGTTGTCTTTTCTTGCAGCTCTGATCACAAGACGGTGCTCTCGCTGCTGTCTGCTTTCTGTTTGGTTCTGATCTACCTCCTGGTTCAAAGACGATGTTCACTAGTCTCCAAGTTCGCCCTGGCCCTTGGACTTCTGGGTGTCTACAGCTACCGGGCAGCTGTTGGCAATGTCTTGTTTCCCTGGCAACAATCCACTCGAACTACGTCCAAGTAAGTTGTGCGAAGCACCGGAACTTGATTTCACTCGCTGCAACAGCGGGTCAAGACTCGGTCTCTCGACAGTGAAGTGATTTAAAGTGTGGTGGTGCTCTGTGATGTAAATGAGCACATGGGCTGTAATGTGTGTGTCATCTGGGACAAACACCAAGACCAAATAATTAACTTTGATGATAAACTGCTCAACAGTTCATTATTTTTTCTTTTCTCCACGCCTACCTGCAGTAAATCTCCAGTGTCTTATAAAAGTGACGCAGTTTTAAATATAAATGATTACACTGAAAAGGGGCATCACACCGGCTGACTGTTGATTTAAACCAATAGGAAATGCCTCACCATTGACAGCTTTTTATTCCGACTAATCTTTTCGTCTAAGCCCAGTTTCTTCTCTCTGATGGATGTGAAGTTACATCCTTGCAACATAGCAGGAAGCTGCTTGGTTAGAGCTGAGGGTTGGAGCAGCGTTGTAGCACACCATCCAATATAGTCTAGGTATACATTTTTCTGTTTTCCTGCCAGAATACTAAATCGCTAGAAGTATTGGGACAGTGCAGCAAATCAATGCATTCAAGGACTGCATTGGAGGTGTGGACCAAAATGTACATCTAAATGATTTAAGCTGCATTCAAATATACAATAAATCCCTTGAAGGTGAAGTGTGTGAAAATAAAGATGACATCATCTGGTCAAATTTGCTAACTGCAAGCTACCTCTCACTCCTGTTTGGTGAGATTCATGGCTGTAGGCAGTTACGCATCAGCACCAGAAGATTAGAGGTGACAAGCAAAGATGAGTCATACGCAGTAAGTTTATAAGTAGTTGTGATATCTGGTGTAGGCCCTATTGGGTGCTTTTACGGAAGAGAGCACTTACTCATCTTACTATGGTATTATGCCTCCGGTGTGTTTACCGTCTGGTAGGGTTGTCACGGTGTGAACGGTGTGGCCAAAATTGTCACGGTTTTTGCTCCTATCTGATTTTTTTTTTAATGTGTTATATTTCCAGACAACTAAATAAACCGTCTGTCAGGAAAATATTGTCCTCAGTTTGCGTTTAAATTTTGTTTTGTAATTATGTGTTTTATTTGTTTAACTTTAAAATACCAAAATTTGCCCTTAGCATTTAATTTTTTTTGTCTATTTGAGGTCATCATTTAAAAAATATGAGATCAGATGATACTCAGTACTCAAGTGGCCTTCTAATCAATTACCTTTTCATCCTTGCTAGAGTGATTTCTTGGAGAGCCCCACCTATGGATCAGGGGCTTTCAGACATTTTTTTCTTGCACGTGCTGGCAACAGGATAGCCGTCTTCCATCGGCAGTCCCTCGGAATTCTTCAAATATCCAAAATATGCCCTTATTTTTTTTCTTCTTCTTTCTTTTGGGGGGGGGGAGCTGGCTCCTTGGAGGGCTTTAGTCCAACCAGCCATTCCTCCCTGTCCCCACACGTTACTCCTCCTGCTCCCTCACATCATCACACAAACATGCACATAGGACCTTGGGGGGGGGGTGGACAAGTCAGGGAGTGCGGGTATGGACCCCATTTCCGCATTCCTGTGGCAACCTGCCCCCCAATTTTATTTGCACCTTAAACACTTCCACTGATGACATTCCACACAAACACACACTTAGGGCCTTGGGAGAGAGCAAATTCAATGACATTTGGCAGGGGGATTTCTCAGCCTCATCCCGAGTGCCGGTGCCCACTTCCAATTTTAAACTGCACTTAGACACCGAGGGCTGAGGGCGCAAGTGGGGTGGTGCGGTGGCATCAACTGGCGTAGGCCAGACGATGCCCGCACTGCCCGCTCACCTCAGCCATGGAATACACCTCATCAACACGCACTAACACTATATTGGAGCAGGCCGAGGGAGACTAGGGGTCTTAGCACACCTCTGTTGTCACTTGGCTTCCCGGGGCTGGAGGCTAGGAGGGAGATCTGGCCGTCTGGTTGGGGTCTGGGGTGGTGGGTTGCTGTGCTCAGCATTGGGCGGGGGAGCCTGCTCATCAGCACCCCAGCAGAAAGGGGCTAACTCTGGTAACCGGTGATGGTTGTACCCCATGTGCAGCAGTACCGGGACCAGAGTGAACAAGGTGTGTATGGGGAGCATGAGTGGGTGTCCGGCATGCATTTTTGTAAGTCTTGGGTTGTATGTGCATGTGTGAGCATGAGGGAGGGAGCGTGTGACTGTGTCTGTATGACTGTATATGTCAGGTGGGGCCTTTGACTCCTCCCTTCTCCTGGGACTTCTTTTGATGCTATACATCTTTGTCTCCCCTCCCCCTGCCACACCTGGTGTGGAGTGCGGTGCCTTGGTCTGCCTGGGTTCGTGGCTCTCAGGTCAGGGGGTTTAAGGTTTTTTTTTGGCATCTGTCTGATCAATCCCGGTTGCTGCCTGGTGGGATCTGGGTCCCGGGTCGCTGGGTCCCGGGCTTGGCCGGCTGGGGGGTGGGAGGCTGTGGGCATGCCTGTGGGCTTGCCGCTGATATCTCCTGGGACTCTGCCGGCTGCTGGTTGTGGCCCTTCCGGGGCGATCCTCTGCGCCTCTCGAGGGGGGCAGGGACTTTTCTGGTCGCAGTCTCCTTGGGGTCCCTGCCCTCTGGGGCAGCTCCTGGATCTCTGGGACTTGGAAATGCCCATATTTTCGACTTTGTCTTCTTTGAGGGCTGCTGGATGTCCTGAGTGCTGCCATCTCTTCCTTCGACCGTCATTTCAGCTTAGCTTCAAGAAGGTTTTGGTTGTAAACAAAGTGTGCATGTGCAGCAACTTCAGCAGATGAGACAGTGTCGGGTAAGGGTCACCATGTCTACACCGTGGCCACGGTAATCCACAGAGATAATATATTTTTTACAAAACAAGATGGTTATTATTATTGCCGACATTTTACCGGGGTTTACCGCTACGTCGGTTGCCGTGACATCCCTACCGTCTAGCTGTTTTTGTTCTGAATGACTAATTTAAGGAAGTGAAATGCCAGCTTTGACTCATTATTCACTTCCTACATACATTTCACTGTAATATAGAGTTGTTGGTAATTGAAAAAAGTTGCTATTTACTTCTAATTCACCGTTAGCATTGTTAGCTCAATGTTACCCTCTAGCCTTCTTTACCCGATATTCGAGTACTGGGACAGCAGTAGTTCAGGAGGCAGAGTGGGTTGTCTAGTAATTGGAAGATTGTAGCATTGATCCTGGCTCCCATCAGAGAATGCTGCTATTGTGTCCTTGGGCAAGACACTTAACCTGACTGCTGGTGGTGGTCTGAGGGACCGGTGGCACCAGTGTATGGCAGGCCCCGCCTCTGTCAGTGCGCCCCAGAGCAGCTGTAGCTACATCGTAGCTCATCTCCACCAGCGTGTGAATGGGTGAATGACTGATTGTGTTGTGAAGTGCCTTGGGGGGTTGTAGAACCCTAAGAAGGTGCTATACAAATACAGGCCATTTACCATTTAAAACAAAACGTGTGGCTTCTCAGGGGTACAAGAAATAACTTCTGGGTCGCTCCTGTTTACTGGCTTCTATTCTTTAAACAACTCTGGAGCTTTTGGCCTGCTGGTGTTGAATTACAAACGCCGGCTCTGCAGCGTTAGCTCACAGGCGACACGGCAACCTCACACTCACTGATGGTGAACAGTAGCTATGTCCCTCCATTTTTTATTTTGAAAGGAGAAAAACCGACAATCCCCAGAGCCGACTGCTAATGTAACCTGTTTCCGTACAACCTTCCTTCCAACAGGATTGAGACATTAGACTGTTTTGGGATTATTTTCAATGTAGAAATGTAACTTTATTCTTACACCCTACACCTTTAATATTTTTCCTCGTAAAATTTGTACAAAAAATGTGTCTCAAGCATCACACTGGCACTTTACTTATAATCTATGTAAAAATATTTTAAATTCCATGTATGGCAACTAGAGATGGGTTAAATGACATTACTCATAATATCGGTAATTTGTCTTGTCCACGGGGAAAAACATGTCGTGATTTGCTAAATACCTCCACTACGCCACAGAATACGCTCACATGGGTCAAGTAACGTAGAGTAAAGCTGTGAAGGCAAATGTGGCTGGAATCTTACAGTACTCACTCACATAAGCGAGTAGATAAAGTTCCATTGTAGTTTTGGAGGTATTATGACCTATGGGGGGTCAGCAGAGCCTGCTAACTCTTGGAATTCACTGGTTGTCCATTTACATCTATACTGGGCCACCTTGTGTCTTCAGTGAAATTTGGGTGACTCCAAAAGAAATCATTTGCAAATCTTTTTGTTAATTTTTCAGAGTTTCATTAGAATTCATCCTTTGATTCATGAGATCTACTAAATAAAGCCCAAGCAGTCAAAAATGCTGTTTAAAGACGAGTCGCCAAAAGATCATTGCATTAATCTCCATTTGTACCGAGGGGTTCATTGAATAACTGATGTTAGATTTAATCTAGATTGCCTTAATGCTTTTATTCTCTTATCATTTATTTATTTAGAATCAGCAACGTCAACGGTGAAAAATACAAACTGAATATGCACTTTATGCAACTTTTTAAGATTATTTTTTATATAATTGTATATGTGTGCTCTTTGAACTCAAGTCTGAGATCTTAATCTTAATACACTCTATAAAAATATAATTGGATTCAGATCCTTGGATAAAAAGTTAAGGTGTACATTTGTTTCTATAAATTTAAGGCTGTGCAAACTCAGGAGGAGTTGTAAGTGGAATTGCTTCAGTGATTATTTACAAAGACAGTTTGGTTTGCATTTATATTACTTTGACTAAAGATTTCTTTGGAAAATATTTACTCAAGCCAAACTTCTATTTAGTTTATAAAATTTGACTTCTCAGCAAAAAAAAAATTCTTAGCACTTTACAGAAGATGCTGCAAGGTCATCGATTCACTCAGTCATCATGTGCAACACCTGATAGAGAACTAAAATGGCAAATACTCCTTATTTAGAGTAAAGGTGAAACTATGTCAGACATCTTCACCTGTTGT